CTTTTGAAAAGGTATTTTAAAGAACAACTTTTTTGGGTCCGTTTGTAAAAACGGCTTTTAAAATTATATTTTAACTTTTTTTGGGTCCGTTTGTATAAACGGCTTTTGAAAAGGTATTTTAAAGAACAACTTTTTTGGGTCCGTTTGTAAAAACGGCTTTTAAAATTATATTTTAACTTTTTTTGGGTCCGTTTGTATAAACGGCTTTTGAAAAGGTATTTTAAAGAACAACTTTTTTGGGTCCGTTTGTAAAAACGGCTTTTAAAATTATATTTTAACTTTTTTTGGGTCCGTTTGTATAAACGGCTTTTGAAAAGGTATTTTAAAGAACAACTTTTTTGGGTCCGTTTGTAAAAACGGCTTTTAAAATTATATTTTAACTTTTTTTGGGTCCGTTTGTATAAACGGCTTTTGAAAAGGTATTTTAAAGAACAACTTTTTTGGGTCCGTTTGTAAAAACGGCTTTTAAAATTATATTTTAACTTTTTTTGGGTCCGTTTGTATAAACGGCTTTTGAAAAGGTATTTTAAAGAACAACTTTTTTGGGTCCGTTTGTAAAAACGGCTTTTAAAATTATATTTTAACTTTTTTTGGGTCCGTTTGTATAAACGGCTTTTGAAAAGGTATTTTAAAGAACAACTTTTTTGGGTCCGTTTGTAAAAACGGCTTTTAAAATTATATTTTAACTTTTTTTGGGTCCGTTTGTATAAACGGCTTTTGAAAAGGTATTTTAAAGAACAACTTTTTTGGGTCCGTTTGTAAAAACGGCTTTTAAAATTATATTTTAACTTTTTTTGGGTCCGTTTGTATAAACGGCTTTTGAAAAGGTATTTTAAAGAACAACTTTTTTGGGTCCGTTTGTAAAAACGGCTTTTAAAATTATATTTTAACTTTTTTTGGGTCCGTTTGTATAAACGGCTTTTGAAAAGGTATTTTAAAGAACAACTTTTTTGGGTCCGTTTGTAAAAACGGCTTTTAAAATTATATTTTAACTTTTTTTGGGTCCGTTTGTATAAACGGCTTTTGAAAAGGTATTTTAAAGAACAACTTTTTTGGGTCCGTTTGTAAAAACGGCTTTTAAAATTATATTTTAACTTTTTTTGGGTCCGTTTGTATAAACGGCTTTTGAAAAGGTATTTTAAAGAACAACTTTTTTGGGTCCGTTTGTAAAAACGGCTTTTAAAATTATATTTTAACTTTTTTTGGGTCCGTTTGTATAAACGGCTTTTGAAAAGGTATTTTAAAGAACAACTTTTTTGGGTCCGTTTGTAAAAACGGCTTTTAAAATTATATTTTAACTTTTTTTGGGTCCGTTTGTATAAACGGCTTTTGAAAAGGTATTTTAAAGAACAACTTTTTTGGGTCCGTTTGTAAAAACGGCTTTTAAAATTATATTTTAACTTTTTTTGGGTCCGTTTGTATAAACGGCTTTTGAAAAGGTATTTTAAAGAACAACTTTTTTGGGTCCGTTTGTAAAAACGGCTTTTAAAATTATATTTTAACTTTTTTTGGGTCCGTTTGTATAAACGGCTTTTGAAAAGGTATTTTAAAGAACAACTTTTTTGGGTCCGTTTGTAAAAACGGCTTTTAAAATTATATTTTAACTTTTTTTGGGTCCGTTTGTATAAACGGCTTTTGAAAAGGTATTTTAAAGAACAACTTTTTTGGGTCCGTTTGTAAAAACGGCTTTTAAAATTATATTTTAACTTTTTTTGGGTCCGTTTGTATAAACGGCTTTTGAAAAGGTATTTTAAAGAACAACTTTTTTGGGTCCGTTTGTAAAAACGGCTTTTAAAATTATATTTTAACTTTTTTTGGGTCCGTTTGTATAAACGGCTTTTGAAAAGGTATTTTAAAGAACAACTTTTTTGGGTCCGTTTGTAAAAACGGCTTTTAAAATTATATTTTAACTTTTTTTGGGTCCGTTTGTATAAACGGCTTTTGAAAAGGTATTTTAAAGAACAACTTTTTTGGGTCCGTTTGTAAAAACGGCTTTTAAAATTATATTTTAACTTTTTTTGGGTCCGTTTGTATAAACGGCTTTTGAAAAGGTATTTTAAAGAACAACTTTTTTGGGTCCGTTTGTAAAAACGGCTTTTAAAATTATATTTTAACTTTTTTTGGGTCCGTTTGTATAAACGGCTTTTGAAAAGGTATTTTAAAGAACAACTTTTTTGGGTCCGTTTGTAAAAACGGCTTTTAAAATTATATTTTAACTTTTTTTGGGTCCGTTTGTATAAACGGCTTTTGAAAAGGTATTTTAAAGAACAACTTTTTTGGGTCCGTTTGTAAAAACGGCTTTTAAAATTATATTTTAACTTTTTTTGGGTCCGTTTGTATAAACGGCTTTTGAAAAGGTATTTTAAAGAACAACTTTTTTGGGTCCGTTTGTAAAAACGGCTTTTAAAATTATATTTTAACTTTTTTTGGGTCCGTTTGTATAAACGGCTTTTGAAAAGGTATTTTAAAGAACAACTTTTTTGGGTCCGTTTGTAAAAACGGCTTTTAAAATTATATTTTAACTTTTTTTGGGTCCGTTTGTATAAACGGCTTTTGAAAAGGTATTTTAAAGAACAACTTTTTTGGGTCCGTTTGTAAAAACGGCTTTTAAAATTATATTTTAACTTTTTTTGGGTCCGTTTGTATAAACGGCTTTTGAAAAGGTATTTTAAAGAACAACTTTTTTGGGTCCGTTTGTAAAAACGGCTTTTAAAATTATATTTTAACTTTTTTTGGGTCCGTTTGTATAAACGGCTTTTGAAAAGGTATTTTAAAGAACAACTTTTTTGGGTCCGTTTGTAAAAACGGCTTTTAAAATTATATTTTAACTTTTTTTGGGTCCGTTTGTATAAACGGCTTTTGAAAAGGTATTTTAAAGAACAACTTTTTTGGGTCCGTTTGTAAAAACGGCTTTTAAAATTATATTTTAACTTTTTTTGGGTCCGTTTGTATAAACGGCTTTTGAAAAGGTATTTTAAAGAACAACTTTTTTGGGTCCGTTTGTAAAAACGGCTTTTAAAATTATATTTTAACTTTTTTTGGGTCCGTTTGTATAAACGGCTTTTGAAAAGGTATTTTAAAGAACAACTTTTTTGGGTCCGTTTGTAAAAACGGCTTTTAAAATTATATTTTAACTTTTTTTGGGTCCGTTTGTATAAACGGCTTTTGAAAAGGTATTTTAAAGAACAACTTTTTTGGGTCCGTTTGTAAAAACGGCTTTTAAAATTATATTTTAACTTTTTTTGGGTCCGTTTGTATAAACGGCTTTTGAAAAGGTATTTTAAAGAACAACTTTTTTGGGTCCGTTTGTAAAAACGGCTTTTAAAATTATATTTTAACTTTTTTTGGGTCCGTTTGTATAAACGGCTTTTGAAAAGGTATTTTAAAGAACAACTTTTTTGGGTCCGTTTGTAAAAACGGCTTTTAAAATTATATTTTAACTTTTTTTGGGTCCGTTTGTATAAACGGCTTTTGAAAAGGTATTTTAAAGAACAACTTTTTTGGGTCCGTTTGTAAAAACGGCTTTTAAAATTATATTTTAACTTTTTTTGGGTCCGTTTGTATAAACGGCTTTTGAAAAGGTATTTTAAAGAACAACTTTTTTGGGTCCGTTTGTAAAAACGGCTTTTAAAATTATATTTTAACTTTTTTTGGGTCCGTTTGTATAAACGGCTTTTGAAAAGGTATTTTAAAGAACAACTTTTTTGGGTCCGTTTGTAAAAACGGCTTTTAAAATTATATTTTAACTTTTTTTGGGTCCGTTTGTATAAACGGCTTTTGAAAAGGTATTTTAAAGAACAACTTTTTTGGGTCCGTTTGTAAAAACGGCTTTTAAAATTATATTTTAACTTTTTTTGGGTCCGTTTGTATAAACGGCTTTTGAAAAGGTATTTTAAAGAACAACTTTTTTGGGTCCGTTTGTAAAAACGGCTTTTAAAATTATATTTTAACTTTTTTTGGGTCCGTTTGTATAAACGGCTTTTGAAAAGGTATTTTAAAGAACAACTTTTTTGGGTCCGTTTGTAAAAACGGCTTTTAAAATTATATTTTAACTTTTTTTGGGTCCGTTTGTATAAACGGCTTTTGAAAAGGTATTTTAAAGAACAACTTTTTTGGGTCCGTTTGTAAAAACGGCTTTTAAAATTATATTTTAACTTTTTTTGGGTCCGTTTGTATAAACGGCTTTTGAAAAGGTATTTTAAAGAACAACTTTTTTGGGTCCGTTTGTAAAAACGGCTTTTAAAATTATATTTTAACTTTTTTTGGGTCCGTTTGTATAAACGGCTTTTGAAAAGGTATTTTAAAGAACAACTTTTTTGGGTCCGTTTGTAAAAACGGCTTTTAAAATTATATTTTAACTTTTTTTGGGTCCGTTTGTATAAACGGCTTTTGAAAAGGTATTTTAAAGAACAACTTTTTTGGGTCCGTTTGTAAAAACGGCTTTTAAAATTATATTTTAACTTTTTTTGGGTCCGTTTGTATAAACGGCTTTTGAAAAGGTATTTTAAAGAACAACTTTTTTGGGTCCGTTTGTAAAAACGGCTTTTAAAATTATATTTTAACTTTTTTTGGGTCCGTTTGTATAAACGGCTTTTGAAAAGGTATTTTAAAGAACAACTTTTTTGGGTCCGTTTGTAAAAACGGCTTTTAAAATTATATTTTAACTTTTTTTGGGTCCGTTTGTATAAACGGCTTTTGAAAAGGTATTTTAAAGAACAACTTTTTTGGGTCCGTTTGTAAAAACGGCTTTTAAAATTATATTTTAACTTTTTTTGGGTCCGTTTGTATAAACGGCTTTTGAAAAGGTATTTTAAAGAACAATTTTTTGGGTCCGTTTGTAAAAACGGCTTTTAAAATTATATTTTAACTTTTTTTGGGTCCGTTTGTATAAACGGCTTTTGAAACTTTATTTTAAAGAACTAGTTTTTTGGGGTTCGTTTATAAAAACGGTTTTTAAAATTATATTTTAAAGAACAACATTTTTTGGTTTCGTTTATAAAAACGGCTTTTAAAAATAAATTTAACAAACAAAGCCATTAATTAATTGTCATTATAATAATCTATTTTAAAGCATTTTTTCTTATGCTATCAATGCTGTTGTATTATTCCAAAAAAATGCTCTTCTTTTGAATTTTCATTTTGCATATTTCCGATGATATGAGCATTAAAAATTAACAAATCCATCAAACTTCTCAATCAGTTTAGACTGAATATTTTAACTTTGAATGAATTCCAGAATAATTACTGGAAATGCATTTTAAAATTAAATTGGCACAAGATATATAAACATAAGAAGAAGAAAACTGCAACAGCTCAATTTCCTCTGTAAAAATGTGAAAATAAGCGTCATAAAATCAATTTTAATGACAAGACTTATTATTTAAATTGCACATGTTTCATTTTTGTCTACATTTTACATTTACTGAATAAAAATCTTTGCGGCAAATAATAATGTCATTTCATAGCAGAAAAACATACATTAATTTAATAAAATTGCTTCTTATCTCATCTAATTTCTAAAGAGATTTTTCAGTGTTTTCAATGTGATGATATGAGTTTCTTCTTAAAATATATATTATGAAGCTGTCTTTAATGCAAAACTTTAAATTTTTTAGAAACTTAGTTTACACGCTTGTACGTACAGAAACACATATGTTTCAATATATACAGAAACATAAAAGTCGGGAAAAACAGTAAATTGTCATCTGAATTTCGGGGAATATCACAAATTAATACATGGAATTCGTGTAAAAGTGTAGACAAATCAAGTTTTTGTTGTGATTTTAGCAAAATCTTAAAACTAATCATTTGTAAACCGCTACTTTAAATTTTTCATAACGCAGATTATAAGTAAATACAGTAACAGTACATTCGCGACTCACTTCGATCTCGATTTACCTAGAATCTGGATTGTAACTGTCAAGCTGTTTGCACAGGCAGTCCGCTTGAGAAGAAGTCGGTTATTGCACGCGATGATAAAACTGAGGTAACTATGCGGGAAAACATGGACAACAACTAACAACATGGAAGGTTTGGTTAGAAACAAGCACTTTTTCTTGCCATAAATAGCTAATAATAGACAGATGACATTTTTATTCCTCTGTTAATACCCGACTTCTTGTATTTTCTCGCGCGTGTTGGATTGTGAAAGCACTAACTGGATCTATTTTTATAAACTCTTTTGAGTCGTTCGCGATTGAACCTACTTTCAGTTGAGAGAAGTTGCACAATAGCAACGTTGCCGCTTTGATTTCAATTTAGATTGAAATACTTACAAGGGGACTGTCGGAATGTCTTCTAATAAATTTTAATAAAATTTCGTTAGTAATTATGTTAAAAGTATAGAAAATTTTATTAATTCTTCAACCATTTTTGAAAATTCCAGAATTTATTCTAAATGTAATATCGCCGTCTTCCTGTGCGATCCACTTCTAAAAATTTGCACAATTGTGTTCAACTATTACAAAGTAGTGCAACATTTGATTGCTCATAACTCTGATCAACACTTTTAGTGAATGCTACAAATTTAATTAAAATAGAGTTTGTATACTTTTAACGTAGTTATTCACTAAATTTTATTAAAATTTATTAGAAGACACTCCGACAGTTCCCTTGTCAGTGCAAACCAAGTATAACAAACTAAGATGCGGCCTTATCGTTAAACCAGTTATGGTGATAATATATACAGCTATTTTCATAAACAAGAGAGTAAAGCCAGTTAAAAGTGATGGCTAAAATGTTTTGTTTTCGCATTAACTGTTTTTATTAACTCGTCTGGATTTAGGAGTAACAGCAGCGTGTTTTATTGTCGCAGGTATTTTATACACAATGAAAGTACAGTGATAGCAAGATAAAGAAATTCTTGTAGATATAAATGTTATTCAGACGTTGATCCGAACCGATAAATAACGGAATGAATTTGGATTCACAATTATGGCATTAGGTTTTAAGTAAATTATTTACTAGTAGAATGACTTAATGTTAAATTGAATTTTAGGTGAATTTTTATTTGTGCACATTTATCGTAACCTTTATTCTTGTTATCGTTAATTAATATAAACATTGCGAATCTTAGATCGATTAACTTTTATTAAATAGAAGTCATGTTATAATTAAAATTTGCGTAATCATTTACGTACCTTTTTCATTATTAATCATTTATTTTTTTCTTTTCCAGCACGAAAAAATGACAGATGGGAGTTTCATAAATAAATAACAAAAGATGTTTGAACACTTTGTGGTTTTCTGCAAAGAGTATAAATGTATTGGTAAACTAGGAAATGATATCTACAAAGACGAAGATTATTACATTATTTTGGACTTCTGATTCCTTTATTATATTATATGATAGTATTTGATTTATAATTACAAAGGTTATCACACCGAGAGACAATCTGAGACATTTTTTAAATGGTGTGCAGTAGGAAGGAATGAAACAATTTTATAATGTGTTAAATTGGTCACTCTGTATGTTAAATTTTTACGTAAATATATAAATCAATTACTATGATATAATAACTATATAAAAAGTAATTATTTCAGTATAACATCATTACGTGTATAGCGATACTTGGATGGAACGAAATGACAAAGTTTCATTGGTAAAATAGACACCAATTGAAAATATATGTTAAATTTTTCAGATGTTTGTAATGACTAACCGTTTCTTTTATCAAACAGTAATCTGCCGACTAATCAAATTTGGCGAAAAATACACCAAATATTTAAACTCGCAGTCTAGAAAACCATTTAAAACATATTTTGTGCTGGCCGATAACCTGGTATTATGTAATTTTTCTAATCGAATGCCATTATTTTGCTGTAACAATCAATTTTCCCAGAATGAAATATCTCAATTAGTCTTATCGTAAATTTGCCCATTATCAAAGTAATATTTAAATATTTTCAAATTCATATTTTCAAAATTTCAATATTAAGTTTCTAAGGCCAATCGTTTAAAATGTATAAAATTATTTTAGACACAAAAATCTTAAAATATTAAAACAGTTTTCAAAAAGTTTAGCGAAAAACGAGAATAAGTTTATAAGTGTAAAGTAAGGAAAATTAGAAAATATTATCTTACTCTATCATCACCGTCATCTTGCATGGATTCACTTTCCCATGAGTATCGATCGTCACCAGTTTTTGCTTCATCAAATTCGTTTATTGTTTTCGATACTAAAAAGTAATAATTTTTTAATTTAGATTTCGATTTGTTTGTAATTAAATATCATAGTTCTGCCATTAACTATAAATAAGTTTATAAAAAAAGAAACAAATGTAACATTGTAAAATATTTGTGTTAATGTGAAATATTTGTATGGGATATTTCCCGTTCTGAATGAATGAAAAAATCAAACATATAATAAACGGAATATTAAAACTAAAGCACACACTGTTTTTCTGTTTGTGTTTAGCAGATTATCTCTTGATTTAAAGTTAATTTCAATGTTTTATTTTGTGGTTATATACCGAATGTTATTTATAATAAGCCCATTGAGTTTATATACACGTAATTAAATTGACTTTTCGTTTGACATCGCGACGAATTAAAAGGTAAAGTTTCAAAAATGGAAATTTGCGTCAATGGAAAGGCAAAGTTTGTTGTTTACAGTAATCGAAAACAATTGCGAGTCTTTAAGCTGCACCAGAGATTGTTTATTAAAAATTAATTTTGTTACTTAAATTTGAAGCGAGCTTAGCTGTAACTAGCAAAGATATTTTGATGCCGCAATGCAAGACTGCAATTTTTCAACATATTCCTTATGTATTTAATGTAAAATGTACGTTCTTCATATGAAATTAGTAGTGTCTAACTAGCGTCTGTACATAATAACAACAGAATCGTGCCGGTCACCTACTTAACTTAATTTCGTTTGGAATAAAATATTTCAATTGAATTCACCCGATTTCTGGTTTAGACCGGGAGTTCGTGTACACTAGGGCGGTTTTTAAGACCATATAGTTTTCAGAAAACAGAACAATTCGATTTTAATTGTCGGGTTCCACAAGAGTTTATTTCACTTTCATATACATGTTGGTGTAAAATCTTCATTAAATCCGACCCTTTTGAAAATATAATGCAAGCCCTTTATCCCCCACCTCTCGACTTTTAGTTACCAACGTTGAACAGTGTCTATGCCTCTTTCGTAGAAGTTATCGTGCAAACTTTTTTTTTAATGTTAGCGTCTTGTGAGATACAATCGAAATAGGCGTGAAACAGGCAGACACGTTACTGTTTAAGCAACAAAAATAATTATCTCAAGTACTTTTTACGAAAGAAATGAAATCTTTTTAGAAATAAACATTTTGAAATTAATGCTAATTTTTAATTGTTTCGAATATAACAAACTACCCCATACAACACACCTGAAAAACTGTAGTTGATTATTTAATATTAAGTTACTTAATTTAAACTGATTTTAACACAATAAATTTAACATTAAATTATTCCTTAATAATTATTAAACAAATTATTTTATGAATCGGAAAATCTTTTATAACCTCTTTGTAACCTTACCTTCCTCCATTACTTCGCCTTTTTCATTTAACTCAAATGACTCTTCTTGGTCTATGTTCAATTTCTCAACAAAATCCTGTAAAAAGTGAAAAATTCCGATTTATGATATAATAATCTTACAGTCTCGTACTGTTCTTTTTATTAACTCAGAAAATATTTATTTAATAATAAATAAACAATTTGCAGCTATTTTAAATAACACGTTTTATAAAACTGTGCATCGTTGTCATGGGTTTTTCAGTTGTGAACCATTAAATGATAAGAATTATTAAATTAGTTTCAATTACTTCCATTGAATTGTAACTTACAGAAGAAGAAGATTTTGCTTCTTCTCTTCTCTTTCGTGCTGCGAGATCCATAATAATGTGTACTATGGTCTCAACAGAATCCTGCATGGCGACTTCTTTTTGATCACCTGCTACTTCTTCATTCGGATTATTATCCTCTATTTCCTTATCACAACCTAGAGAATAAAATTAAACACAATAAACACATGAAATTGTTATTCTAGAAAGATATTTTGAAATTTTATTCTATAGCAAATCCACAAAAATTAAAATTAAAATAAAAAAAAAATTAATTAANCGTTTATATTTATATATATATATATCAGTGTTTTTCAACCCCCAGAGCCATATTAAAACTATATTAGTAATTTTAAAAACAATGTATTTAATTTTTTTTCAGTTGAGACGAATGTGAGATCCGGAATTTTTGTGACGAAAATCTCGCTCTTTTATTAACTAAAATTTTAATTAAACTTTCGTTTATGTAACGCCCTAGAAGAAAAAACGATTTTAGCTGGGCTTGTGTAAACCTTCCTGTCCTAACTATCAACATCTATTGTTTTCTGCAGAACTTACGGATCATCTTGCAGAAAAGTTGATACTTAGCATCCAACTTTCGTCATTTATTTAGGTCCCTGGAACACCTATAACCTTAACTTATGAACATCCGATCACGTGGTGGAAATTCCCCGCAAAAACCTAAAAAAGGCCGTTCTTACCCTTTCTCGGGCGAGTCTCCGAATGAACGCAGGACTAACGACATCGCGCCGATTTTCCCAACTCGCCGAATTCCGATCTCCGTTGAACCTCGAAACAAATCTTCGCAAAAGTCGCGATTATATGTAATTTGTGCCGAACCTGGATTATAACTACTTATTCCCTTGGATCGATATTTAAAGGCACCCACGTTCAGAATCGTCAGGGGGACAGCTATACAGAGGTATGAAAGAACTGTGAAACTCTCTCTCTAGGTCGGTATAGAAACTTTGTGTCTCTAGGTCGGTATAAAAACGAGCTTTGTGTAGTCTTTTATCATTTTGCTTATTTTTAATAAATTGTTGTTATATTTGTTATAAATATGGTAGACTCCTTTACTCGGTACGCTCTTCACCTTATCGTCGACCCCTAAAGCTTCTCCCTTCACTCGCCTGACGTATCATCCTGACTAGTGACAGAGGCTGGGGGACTTCTGACCTCCCCTCTAGTTCACACAAATTATTGTTGATTAAAATGAAAATTTCATAAGAATCGACAATAACTTAACACAGATAAAGTATGAATCTTCCTTTAATTATAACATTGGGCACAGGGAGCCGTTGACTTTTTCTTTTTTTTAGGATCAGGATTTTCAGCTTCTACTTTTTATTTCATTTTGCAAATCAGCTTAACATTTTTTCGGCTATGATTTTCTGGGATGAGCCGTGCCCACCCAGACTCCTCCCTGGCTAAACCCATGGTTGAGACCTAAATATCGATCAAAAAATCAATTGTACTGTGAAGTAAACAGGTACAGCTTTCTCGCTGAAATTGTAGTTTTTATCATGTACAGAAGAGCCCCGATTATCCGACCCCCGATTAACCGTCACCACGGTTAACCGACTGTCCTAGTCAACAAATTTCAAATGTCCGCTAGTGATGTGTCGCTACAATATTTGGCTATGCCTTGGCTACTTTAATATTATTTTTACGAGTTTTAGCTGGCAACCCTGAGTCGACGATGAAAGGGAGCCAGAAACTTAATTTTCTAATTTTCAACGATACAATAGCGACGATTATAATTTTTTAAAATTTTGTTAGGCTTAACATCGATGAAAATTCAACGTAAAGTAGATTAATAGCAATATACTAATATACTAATTACATGGGGTATAATAATATACTACACTAATAATGGATTTTTCATACTTTTCACTTATCCGACCAACCTCAGTCCCCAATTGAGTCGGATAATCGAGACTCTACTGTAGTGTAGGACCTACAAACACATGCTTTTTCTTTTACCCGCGACCCCCGTGTAAGGCTTCGCAACCCCCCTGGGGTCGCGATCCACAGGTTGAAAAACACTGATATAGATTATAACTGTATAAGATTATAAGATTATAAGAATCTTACAAAGTGACTTGAAATAATTTTATTGAGAAGCGCAAATTAATAGTTTATTCAGAAACATTTATTCAAAACATTTAATTTATTAAATATATTCTTTGACATTGAAATATTACATATTCATTATTTACCAAAAAACACATAAAAACAGATTTTAATTATTTGTTTAAATAGAAATGAACAATACATCAACAAGATATAAACTTTTCATTAGATACAAATGAACAATAAATAATCAAAAAATAAGATTTTTTTTAACCAACGCTTGAGCCAGTCTCAAGCAAGTTCATAGCGTTACAAAAGACCAAACTTACGAACCCTTTAGAAAAACTTTTTTTATTTTTTATTTTTGGATGTTTTTTAAGTTTCCAAATTTTTTTAAAAAATTTTTTTCATGCGAAAAATTTTACTGCGAGTTTAATCTGCCTTTAATGACGCTCAATTAACCCATAATTCTTTTTCTAAGGAATTTTTCATCAAATTATCACATCGTTCTAAAGTTTTAGAGCATGAATTTTACTTCGATAAAGTTATTTAAAGCTAGCTTCTGATGTCAAAAACGACCTCCAAAAGTTTTTAAATATTTTTAATTCGTAGATTTCATTATATACAGTCGACCCCCTATAAGATCATTGATTATTCCGTTTTATATGAATTCCATGTTGTACGAGTCACTTAAATTTTACAAATACGTGAGCCGTTCACAGCCCGGTACATGTATTTGTAAAATCTAAGTGACTCGTACAACATGGAATTCATATAAAACGGAATAATCAATGATCTTATAGGGGGGTCGACTGTATACGTTTTATTAAGACGGAAAGTCAGATATCGCAATAAAAAACGTAACTTTTTGGAAATATTTAAAAATATATGGCCAGCTAGTATTCACTTTATTTTAAACCCTTCTCCTCCTGTTAATTTTATGAGAATGTTCCGCGAAAGGCGATATCAGCTGTTCTGAAGGTCATCCAGTTGTATAAACAATAACAGATCAGCGTCAGATTTCGCGGAAAAGCGAGACAATAAAAAATAAACTTTATAGATTTCACTTTGAAATTAGCACATTACTTTTGTTTTTTTCAGTTTTAAGTATTTTTTATGNCATTAATTAATTAATACAATTTAATAAAAAGTCTGAGAAAAACGAGTTTCAAATATTCAGTTTGAAAATTAACTTCAAAAATGTAAATAATCAGATGTTACTTTATATCTTTATACTCGAGAAACAATGAAAAAAATAAAGGGAAACCAATGGATAATTTTAACCAATTAAAAATAATTTCCACGTTTGTTGCTCTTTCGTTACACGTTTCTTCTTATAAATGAGCATTGTTTGCATTTATCTAGCGGTGAACATCGATTTATTTATTCAACAATATCGATATATAATAAAATAGACCAGAACATTTTGTAAATATAAAATATAGCATTTCTCGGTGAACAATACCTGAAATTTACTCAAAATAAACTTCTATATATACAGATATTAATTTTATTTTTGATTATTTTATCTTATTGTAAATATGTTGTTGTAATTTTTGTTTGCTTCTTTTTATTCATGTTAATAGAACCGAATATTTAAATTTTTATAAAAGATGCAGAATTAAAATAACAAATTTATATTCATTTGCAGAAAATACGTTTAATGCTTTAACAGCATGCTGAAGTAATGCTGTAATTGTCTTCAACAGCAGTTATACTCATGCTGATTACTCTCAGCATGGTATTTGAGTATTATTTCTGCGGACATACTCTTCTTAAAACTCATTTTGTTCTTATTATTATTTGATGGAATCCCTCTCAAACGTATCTTACTGTAATCTGATTATTCTGCTATTTTATAGTATGTACTTTGAACTTTATCCATGTAAATATTTCCCTGATAATGCTTTCTGCGGGACCAGGATGTTTGTGCAATAACACAATGAATGCAAAAGTAAAAATGTTATCGTTTTATCGTATAACATTTTTACTGTGATTTTTAAATATTCCGTAGAAAATTACTATTAAATGCTTGTCTTTGTATTCATTGTCAACACGTTAAAAAAGATTTAATATAATTATACATTAAAAAGAATTTAACTTACTTAAAATATCCATATTTTCAATGAAAATGCGCTTTCGATAATTAATCGCTTAAGTAAACAATTCGATAAGTTCAACAATAGCTGAAAAGTATTCTTCAAATATATTGTTTATGCAACAATAAAAACCATGCTCACAGAATGATAATCAAAGCGCGTGCTAAGCATTAAGCGTGACATTCAATTTTATTTTGGGTGTTTTTTTTTTGTAAATAACTATAAAAAATGACGTGTGCGATTATAAGTGAAAATGTTTCTTTGTTTTTTCGCTATACTTTCAAATCATTCTAATGTACGTCATGTCGTATGTTGCTCTTCGAAATTTCGAATGCATTTCTATAAATCAATTACTTTTTTTACATTTTGTTTTATTTGTTTAGTTATTGCAACGCAGCACTTGAACCATCTGTCTGGGGCAGGCAAGGTCAACATACGGCCCGCGGGCCGGACGTGGTTCGTGTAATGGATTCATGTGGCCCGTGAAAAATGTATCTGTAATCTTTATTTACAATTTAGTCTCTACGGGGTGACACCACAATGAGATTTCGCACCATTTCAAAATCTTCCTAGGGCAGCCTCTGGTTCGGCTCGTGAAACAAGTTTTTGTTCGAATTCGGCCCGGGGGCAAACACTGTTGGCAACTTCGAGACTCTAGGCGTCTAGGGAGTTCATTCCGGGAGGTTTATTAAAAGGCAACTAAGTTCTATTTTAACGTTACAGACGTGGAGAAAACCCGAAAAACTGTCCGTAGCCAGTGTGTCCGAGCGCGGCGCGGATCTACGACCAAACTCCCAGTGTTCAGGAACTCTTCCACTCGAAGTACCGAGAGGAAGTCCGCTCGGCCATGGGAAGTCACTCGTTACAAAAACCCTATTCAAAAGTAGTAGAGTCGAGTCCGGAGATGTAGATGGTTTCCTATCGTTCACCGGACACTGCATTCTATGTCCTGTTCTCGAACTAAAAAGGATGGCAGGTGAATGCGATCGGAATTTCCGAAGTTCTTCTAAAGGAAGGTCTATAACATTTGGAGGATATATAGGCAAATGACGAAAATGTAAGCTTGCGAGAAACATCTCTGCGAGTGTCGTAGCCTCGCGGGACGCCATGGAAAAATACGCAGTGTCTTTGTAACCTGGGTTTAAATATTTTGTGGACTCGAAAATCGTTACTTTATTGGTTATTAATTAATTCCCTTTCTCGATCCCCCACTGGTCTTTTTCTGTTACCAGGTGAAATTAAACCAGATTTGTTTCCGAGAAAGTCGGTTGTTTACTAACGCAATTCGACACCGTCATTTGTTGGACGTTGAACGAACCTTGTACCTTACTTTCATTTCCTTCTTTGTTCGTCTTGTCTAGAGCAGATTACCACAAATCAAGTTAATGAACATCTTGTTTCGTGACTTTCATTTCATACTTCTTTTTAAAATGGTGTATTAATTTAAGCCAGTTTTTGGTTGTGACTGATATAATTATTATTTTCTATGCAAATTTAGAATGGAGGAATTTTCCCAAAATTTGAACCATACCACTTACTCTATTTTTAACCAGTTATATAAATAAATGCTTGTTTAGTTTGTTAAACCTGTCTCCTGTTACACAGCTCATCTTCAAGATAAATTTACTAGCAGTATGCAATCCCTTTCAGGCTAATTTGAATAATTTGCTATAACGTCAAATTCTTACGAAATTGTATTGTACTAAAATACATGAAAAATTAATTTTTCTTTCCGTTCTGACTTATGGAGGGGCGAATAAAATTAAAACTGTATTTTTAACTTTAACTCAAATCAATAGGCTATTCAATCTGATGATTATAAGAAGTATTAAAAACGACCCATTAGAAGAAGAAGGTGTGGTCGATTTCACATGTAATATTCCAAGTTTCTGTATTGTCGGAAAATTTAGCTGCTGTTAGATTAACAATTAACAATTCTCCTGTTTTTCATCACTGTAGTATTAATCTTTGTTAAATTAATATTAATAATGTAAAAAGAAATGTTAAAGAACATTTTGCCATAATTAGGCAAAACAATACGCATTATTTAAATACTGGTGTATTGACAGCTGCATGCTGGGAAATTTTTGTCTTATATATAGCTGAAAATCTGTAATAGGATATTGTTAGTGTTTTAAACTGTAGTGTACCTACTGATCGTTCTACTGGAGAGGCTTGTCTGGCAAAATGTATTTAGGGAATTTATCGACGCAATAAAGTGTTTTCTCTGCACTTGGGTTTGCCTTTAACTTTACTTTTAACATTTTTTTTTTCATTATTTATATAATGCTTTAGATTCAGGCTAAGTTGTTTAGTGATTTTCAGGCTGTATCGATATGGCTTCTTTAACGCATATAGGCTCACTTAAATAAGAGTATTTCATTTTTTCTCAGGTGATGTTGATTAATCATCTTCAAAGATATGTGATCTTGCTGTATGCAGTATGTAATCCGTTTTCAGACTCAGTTGATTACTTATTTTAGATTCAATTAGCTAGCACAGGGGTCACGAAATTACGGCCAGCGAGGTCAGCTCATCCGGCCCTCCGCTACACTGTAATACAAATGAGCTAAAACGTAATTATTTATAAGGAAATATCATAGATCGTAGATGAACTTATTATAATGTTTTATACATAACAAGTGTCTTTTTTCTTCTGTCTGTGCCTTCTCGTAAGAGAGGTTGGAGGCCAGCTTCTGTTCACTTTTGTGACTTTTATGAATAATTTCTTTTGTATCCAGTCTTGTAAATTCCTTGAGATCGTCCAACCAGTTCCGTCTTTTTTTCTGCTTGATCTTTTTCCATTAATTTTGACTTCTAATGTGAATTTGGAGATTTTATATTTTTCGTTTTCAGTATGTGTTTACAGTATGCTAGTTTTCTCTTCTTTATTAGTTCTGTTTTTGCATCTGCCATTCGTAAAACTGTTTCATTAGGGGTTTTCCTTGTCCACTTGATCTTCAACATTCTTCTGAGTGCCCACATCTCAAAGGCCTCAATTTTACTCTCCATATCTTTCCATATTGTCCATATCTCACATCCGTAAAGCAAAATGGGCCAAATGTAGCATTTTAGCGTTTTTAGTCTTAATTGAAGCTTTAATTTCTTTTCTCACAGAATGTTTTTCATCTAGTTGAACTTGTCTTTAGCCTGTTCAATTCTGCTTTTGATTTCCTTCTGTTGAATTGTTGTTTGAATAAAATGTTTTTCCTAAGTAGCAGAAGCTGCTTAGGAAAGAAGGGAGAAGAAGAAAAACTTGGAAGAACTGCAGAACTGAAGAATCTAGAACAAGTAGGTTCTTCCCTCTGCATTTTATGCACATTGTCTTAGTTTTGTTTGTATTTATTGTGAGTCCTGTTTCTTCACTTTTTTATACTAGTTCGTTTAACAATATCTGTAATCCTTTTTCTGATGTAGCGAGAATGACTTATCGTCCGCATATCAGAGATTGTCGATGATTATTCTGTTATTCTTTACACCTACTGTGTAAGTAAAACTGCCAGAAGTGGTGCAATCTGATTTTTGAATCTTACAGTAATATAACTTTTAGGAAAATGAGTGAAATAAAAAATTCGTCGACGTTTTGCGACTTTGAATATCAGGGTGCTTTTTGTGTAAGCTTGCTGCAGCGATCGTGTTTATGTATTAGTTAATAAACATGCTGATTGTCCTAACTTTTTGCGTATCAGAGTACTGTATTGAACAACACGGTTATGCGGCCCGCGCTCGTCATTCTCTCAGATATGTGGCTTACTGTGATAAAAGTTAGGTGACCCTGTAATGCACTGTAATGCTGGTATGCAACGCTTTTTAGCTTAATATAACAAGCTATTGTGAGAACCGAGGGATAGAGCGACGCGCGTTAAACCCCAATTTAATGGCTTCTAAGTTCGATTTGGGTCCTGGTTTTGTTGATTCGGACTGTCTAGAATCGGATGTTTCGAGAATTATTGACACCTTCTGTCCGGTATTGTTACTCGTCTTACCTCATAATTTTGTTTGTTTGACAGTTTGTTATCATGACAAATTGCCTGTTGTGACTAAGGTTGTAAAAATAGTGTATTTGGAGGAATATTTGATTGAGTTTTTATCTATCAAAGAATCGTAAAAATCCTAATGTGTGAGTTTTTCCACTTCGTCATAACCTGACCGTCTGACCTTTCGGTCACTCTTTTTCTCGGGGATAATATTAGAATCTTTTATTACTGAATTATTTAATTATTATTTTAACACTCGAAAAAGGAGTCGAAATCTCACACCATGTTCAACACTTCTTGGATAATTCCACTACTCGTTTTTAATTTAATTAAAAATGCGAATTACAGCTCACAATTACTTTCATGACTCTAAACTCAGGTTTCAAAAGTGAGCCGAATTTCGTCATTATTATCGTCATCTGGAACATCGTACAATGGAGTGTACAAAAAAAGAAAAAAGTTAATAAATCAAATTTCAAGTTGTTCCTTCATCAGTTTCGTTTATAAATACCAATACAGTGATAAACAGTAAAAAAAAATTGTGCGGATGTTTTGCATGAATATCTTAATAGATTATAATAAAAACAGAGATGTTTAAAATAGTTTATCTTCCTAATATTATCGAATCTTCACGTTTCCTCTTTGCAATAGCTGCTAACGAAAATTTTTCCCGCAGTACTTGATTTAATTAATTGTACAGTACTTCTAAAGACATCAGTATTATACCGGTACCATTTACTTTAAATAAACGATTTTATTGTACGATTTATGACAAACTTTTAAAATTTTTATTAACCTAAGGTCTTATATGGCCTAGAAATTTGGGTCTTTATTACTGAAGATGATAAAAAACTTCACTTATTATAAATTGTCTAAAAGCATTTATTAGCGAGATTTCGAGATTTTTCGCTAGTGGGCATCGACTCATTTTAATTTTGTCGCTTAATGCATGAATAGGTAAGATTTGTTTGTTGTTTATGTGAGAATTTATTATTTCTTTCCATCCAAAGTGACTAAGCTTAGTCACTAAGTTTATCAGCAGAGGAGCAATTAGTAATTGCTCTTACAAATTATTAGTTACAGGATTCGTTTCTTTTTTGTTTTCTATAAATGTTTTTGTAA